AAGAGTAAAATTTTAAAATATGGAGAGAAGTTTTGTACTTTTATTTTCTCAGGATTATTGGAACTGCAAGTAATGAAGTTAAGAGGTGTATCATCATTTGGTAAAACATTAAGGGTGGAGATCACATTCAGCAATGATCTGAATTGAATAAATGACATAAGGAACTGTCAAAGTTGAAAGTTGTAATAAGAATGGATGGAGACTGAGGAATAATAATAGTATATGAAGCATCAACTGACAGGAAGAATCTTGTGAAATCATACAGCTTATAAAGTAATGAACCAGTAACAAAAATTGTGCCAGACATGTTGCCTAGTATGCCTTTAATTTCTACGCCATTTAAGGAGATTTACAGTGTGTTAGAATCTAGTCCAGATGGGCATTTACAAATGGAAATATCTGAATCAAGTTCACTGCACCAGCCTTCATCTTCTACATCACCACCATTGCCGGAAGTACTCAGTGTCTCACACACTTGCTCTGACCCTAGAATTAATCTTGAGAAGGAGAGCCAGGGCCATATATCAATAAAAGCATTGGACTTGAGTGTAACAGCAAATGTTTCTTCAAAGAAGTCCTCACCATTAAAACATGTTACACCAATCCTTAAGAAATACAATACTCATCGTAAAGGAAAGGGAAGTAAGAAGGTTTCATTAATTAACAAAGGAATCATTAATGATCAGGTAAGACAAATTTTACATTTTTTGAAGCGGTCAGTCGTGAATTTAATTGGGTTGATAATGAAATTTTAGGTTCTCTTGGTGGTGAATAGTTGATGATAAAATTCTGAGTTATGACAGCATGTAGACTTGTAACCAGGTACTAACAGAATAATGCAATAAACATTAATATTATATCATACTACTTGTACAAGCATCAAAGTCAAGATATTACGAATAAATGCAGAAATATTTCAACAAATAATAGTATCTCAAGTCAGTTTTATGACCAGACAGTTCTAAAGTTCTAATTGCCATTACTGTCTTTCATGATCTATTGTAAAACATGTAGACACTCATTTTAGTTTATGAGGTCACTGCAGACTGGATTTATTTTAAAACATAAGTGTTAATTTCTTTTGTAGCCCCATCTTCAGCAAGGTAATGATAAACAGGGTCTGCGCCCAATTGCTCCAAAGCCCTTAAAGGTCATGTTTCCATCTGAAAAGAAACATCAGCAGGAGGGGAACCTGCAGTTGGATCAAGTTTTGCTGAAAGATGTGTAAGATATAATTGTGGTGTGCATGGTGCAGTGTTATTACTGTGGGTGAAAATATAACAGTGTGACAGAAATAGGGCTTAAGTATTTTCAGTTTGTGTGCTGTAGTTTTTGAGTATTAACTGCATAGAGAAGTTTCTTTAATAGTTCTGTGGGTGAAACTTCCAGGCTCTGTCCCTAGTACAAATTACGATTCACCTGGTCTTTTTTATCACCTCTTTTTCCTCAACTATGTGCTTACTCTCTGTTGAATAGCATCCCGCTCCTTTGTGCATCCAATCAGACTGGTCACCTCCCACTCACTACTGACCACCTGATCTTTATGAGGGTTTCCATATCCCCCCAAAATACATTCACTATGTAGGTGGCAACTGCATTTCTTGTGAAAACATTGGTAATCCTTTAACATTCTACACAGCATATTTCCAAAAGCCAATGTTATACACTGTTCACTATTCATTTTATCTTTTTTATCTCATTCTATAATATATAAAAGTAATATCTGCAGGTGATGAAACATAATCATGCAATATAAGAATGGATGACTTTTGAAAACATAAAATTCCTGTGGTGCACATTTATATTAAATTTAATAAAATATGAATTTTGAATATTGTGAAATTACTTGCTATGAAATTACCTAAATGCAGTTCCACATCAAATAACATGGATAATTAACATACACAGCAGGTTCAACATCAACCAGATAATTACCATTTGTTGATGTGGTAAAGGAACTGTGAGTTTGCCTCTTCTTTACAAATTTTCTGCGCACACGTAATGTTTGAAAACACTAAAAGTTCATAAAGAGGAATTCATCTGGTATCCACATAATTTTCAAAATTTTTGGAAAGATATAAACATGTTTAAATTCCGCACCTGCAACTTGACCTGAATTTGACCACTGACCAGAAATAAGCCAGCTGGGCAGCCAGTGTTTGAATTCTAGCACATGCAAAATGTGCCCTCTTTGCCACCACATTCACATCAGCTATGGGGGCCCATTTTTTTTCCTGCAAGCATTAAGTGACAGAATCATAGGCTGTTTCACCTATCATACTCATTTGAACTTGTCTCCCTTCAAGAGAGCTTTTTATTCAATTACTTACATATTTATTTTTAAATCTTAAAGTTGTTCTGTTATGTCTGCATGTAACGTGTCATATCACCATATTCTTAACTTCACCAACATTTTTTGTAGTGTTTGTACATTCACCTTTATGTGAGTTGCTAATGGACTGTAGTCAAAGTGTACAATTTGTATTGCTTTAGCATACTTCAAACGACCAGTTGCGTAGACTTTATTCAGCTGTGACTTTTCCCTCCTCTTGACAGTGGTGAGGATGGAACAGAAGTGGAGCAAGAAGTATCTTGTGGGGCTGATGTAGCGACTGGAACACCAGGTGGATCTGAAGAAATGAAGGAGATGGGTAATGATGAGAAGACCTCAGAATATAGGGATGTGTCAGCAGAACAAAAGGTTTGAATGAAGGGAGAATTAGATTTTATGGGATATGGGAGAGACATGTGCGGTTTAGTCCTGATTATTCAACCTGATTCGGACTAAAGGATAGTCAGATAATACAGAAATGTCAGATAATATGAAAGGGTAAATATCAACTCAATTTATGGTATTATTAAATTATGAAGAGAATATAATACACTAAAGGAACTGAGTACATAAAATGTAGAAGGTGTGTGGTGGGAGAGTATTATTCATTTTGCTACATGTTTAGTTGACCGTTGATAAAATGGAGTGTTCTGACACAGCATGTCAGATAAAATGGAATGAATGTTAGATAATCAGGACTTTGCTGTATATGAATGTTATCTCGATTGACTGCAAGTGGTCATTTGTTTGTTATATATACATAGTTAAGATGTGGGAAGATTTAATGTCAGGAAATATGTTTCCTTGACAAAAATAATTTATTTTAGTTTAGTACATGTAGACTGTATTTAAAATACTTGGAAGGAAAAAGCACTTGAAGATGGGACTTAAAATGGTTGTAATAGGATGTTTGTGGATTGGACTTATCTGACTCTGGATAGGGCCCAGTGGCAGGCACTTGTCAACACAGTAATGAATAATCAGGTTCTGTAAAAGGCACCGAATTTCTTGACCAGCTTTGTTATCAGCTTCTTAAGAAGTACTCTACTCTATGAAGTTTTTATAAATTGTAGATTAGTGTGATACATATAGAATATAAATAAAGGAAGGGTATTAGAGAGTGGACAGTATATGTTTATGTAGGTTTGAGGTTTAAATTCATAGTATGATATTATTTTTATTTTATAAGCTGCTCAAGAAGTACCCTGGTCCATGCAGTTCATTAGTTCATAGCCAGGAGATCCCACATTCATTTCTCAGCTTATATTGCAGCTGGCTACCCTGACTCAGGTTTTCATAATTGTCTGTAGTCGTCCTTTCGGATGCTGGGATAGTACTGTAAAGCAGGCCTTGATCACATCCTTTCCAGTGAACTTTTCACAGCCATCTTCCCATTCAGTGCTGTTATAACACACTTGAGAAAGTGTTGTTAAATAAACTAAGAAATGGGCATAAATTCTGTGTTAACCGTACATCAGGACAAGTTACTTGAGTTGAAATTTGATATGACATTGAAGGAAACTAATTTTTTGTTTTGAATGTTTTCTGATAGGATAAAGAAAATGAACTAACTGCTCTTATGTCAGCAAGCATAACTGTACGTTCATCAAAAGGACGTGCTGCAAAAGTTATGAGAAAGAAATCAAAGCAACTAAAGGATATGGAATCAACTTTGGCATTGTTAACACCAGACAACACTGTTGTGAGAGAGGAAAAATCATATGGTAATTTCTGTATTATTAACTAACATTGGTAGCGGAACCCAAACTTTCAGCCAATACCACTAAAGCCAGAGCCGTTAGACAGAAGAATGTCACTCCAGTCATGCCCACCTCAGATCCCCATGACCTGTCTCTCTAAGATCCATCTTCATGTTATACTCCTATCTCCTTGGTTGTCGAAGTGGATGTTTTTAAAGAGATTTCTCCAGCAAAATTTTGTGTGCTCATCTTAGTACACACTTCATGGTCATCAACCAATTTATACAGCGCTGTGTGACCTGTATAAATCAAAGCCACAAAGTAATCATTATGTAATAACTTAAATTGCTCACTGCACCCTTCTTTGGTCTATATATTTGTCTGAGCCAGTTTTATATTTGGTTTTGCATGTTGTTGGTCTAATGTCTTGTGAATTCTTTTCCTTAGGTTTCTGCTGCTGGAGTTCAGTGTACAGTTTTGGCTTTTGTGGATGAACCGTGTCAAGTGGTAAAAATTATATCTTTTAACAAACATTGCAATATCCATCTTCAGGGTGCAGTGTTTTCTGAAATGTTGGATAATTTTCAGTGTTCAGCATGGCTCATCCCATAAAGCCGAAGTTGTATGTATATCTTGTGAAATCTACATTTTTTATTTTTTTGTGTTCCTCCATTATCAAACATGACAACATAAAAAAATAATGATTGATATTGAGGTGGAATCAATTGAAACTTCATCAGGCCAAGTGATACCCAATGTGTGTTGTGTGTAATGTATATACGAGGTGCGATCGGAAAGTTTCCAGACTGCGCGTATAAAAACCCGTACACTTATCTCAGGTATTAAATTCATCCATCACCCTCGAAGTAGTTCCCTGGGAGTGAACACAACGATCCCAGCGCCGCTGCCAAGCCTGGAAGCATTTCTGGAAATCTTTGTTTGTCAGCCTGTCAAGCACCATCTGCGATTCTGCCTGAATCTCTTCTATCGTCTCAAATCTCCTTCCCTTTAGCTGAATTTTCATCTTTGGGAAGAGGAAGAAGTCACACAG